CATTAGAAGGTGCCACCTCATTACCTTTGGTTTCTTCTTTAATATATATAGATTACATTGTCTTATAAAAATACGTTATAAAATTATTTAAAAATACATTTATTTATAAAATTATTTGAATTTTCAGGTCAGGCCGGGCCGGTCCCATAACCGGTCTCAATCCCACGAAACTACCAAAAACCCCAACCGGTCCCGGTTTTCGGTCCCATAACCGATCCCAGTCCTTTGCCGGTCCCGGGCCGGGCCAGGCCGATTTGGCCATCACTATTCCCAACTCCCACCCTACCTATCATAATATTTGATGTAAAGTCATTTAATAATTAATATATGTATTTTGCTCTTACACTCGCATACATATTTTTATGCAATTTGCTCCAATATACATTTTTTTTTTATTAAAACGTATTAATTTACTAATTTAAACGTCAAGGTGTTTTTTCTCACAAAACTTTCATTCCTAGTCTTCGCATATATCATTTTCACCAGATTTTTTAAATTTACGTCTCTTTAAAAGACAAATTCGTATCACCATTCTCGATTCATCAATTAATTTAAACATCAATATGTTTCTCCCAACTTAGACTTTTGTTCCTCGGGCTTGCTTCCCCTTTCTTGAAATTGAACCGACGTCTTGTACTAAAAATACTTTTGGTGCATAACATAAGAGGTACTCTAAAACATTAATTGCATCCTAAAACGTTTTAAACATGTAACATATAGCATACACGTACTTCTGAAAACGTTATGGATCATGTGTCCTATTTTAAGAACTCATGAAAACTCACCTGATAATATGAATGTTTAAAACTAGTATGAATCTGACACACTATTACACTGCAAACCAAGGGCCCACACTTACTGCTAACTATACCATGAAGGACAACCAGAAAACAACCTAACTACCCAAAGTTTCGAAAACCATAAGGTGTTGTTTGGTTCGCAGAATTCAAAGGAATTGGAATGATCAATTCCTTTGAACAAATTCTAATTCCTTTGTTTTGGTTCACATATTGAAATGGATAAAAGCTTTTGAATTTCACAAATTAAGGAATTCATCATTCATT